GATGAAAATGTAAAAATATAAAAAGAAAAAGGCAAGAGCTGCTGAGGTCAGGCTGGATTAGCTGCTGCGAGAGTCTCCAATGGATGACTCTGCTTCACTATTTAAAAAAGCCTCTAAAAAAAGCCCTCTACAGGAGGAGACAAGAGAACCACATGCCTCATCTACATAAGGATTTTTTCGGCTTTTAATCCTTGCTAAACTCTGCTCGAGTGATCATAAAGATAGACTAGATGAGCCATGTCGTTCTCCCGCCTCTTCCTATAGAGGACACTTTTTTAGAGGCTTTTTTAAACAGTTAAGCACTAAGCAGAGTCATCCACTGTGACTGGTAGCAACTACCTCAGCCTTTTTCCTTTAATTTTTTTTCCTTTTCATGATAACAGTGGTGAGGCCCTGCCTCCCCTGACTGCATGTCACTGGTTGAGGACTATTTTGTGATTACTTTTTGTTTTACCCTCATATTGGTAAAAGCTCAGATTTCATAGTGCTGTTCAGAGTTCTGCTACCTATATCTCAAGACTGTGTTTGGGGGGTGAGGGTTGTGGGTGAGTGTTAAAAATCCTATTATTTCTTTTACTATTGTATGATCTATGAAAATGTGAATATTTTAGATGAAAATATATTTTTCTTTTTAGATTGTAGAAGGGGTACCACTTTGGAATGGAATTAGACTGGAGTATAGAATAAATGGTAAATATGTATTTACAGTTTCTTTGGAATTTACTAATCTGATGTTGATACTATTAGTACCTGTATTTCAACTACATATTGCAATTTTTACTCTCGAGCTCCTGGTCTCAACTCAACATTCTTGGATTAAATGACAAAAACCTGCCTTGTTTAGGATCAGTATATCTTAACATATTTAAATCCTATATCATTTAATTACCCACACATTAAATGAATTAAGCCATACCTTATGAAGGGTTAGTGCATTTTAATAAAATTTGTTCATCTGAAAAGATGCTACCAGAATATTTTACAGAATATTCCCGTGCTTTCATATCTAAAATTATGTTCAGAACTTTTATTCTGAGTTTTCTCCCATGCTGAGGTATAACAAATGTTATCCAGGGATGGGCCTTTTCAGTTATAACCTCCCAATTCTGAAATGGTATCCCTGATGAAATTATGTGTGGCCAACTCTGTTGCTTTTTGATGGCAGGCAGATATAATTTTACTCTTTTACTTATTTTAATTTATCAATGAATAAATTATATGTACTGTTAAAAAGTGAACTATTGTGGCTATTAGCACTTGCACACCTTCTGCTCAACAACTCTGACATTGATTTCCAATGGAAAGCCAAATGAGTTACTGAATGTCCAGATATAGCACATATAAATAACATAAAAGGTGCCAGGGTTTGAAGTTTCACGGAGCAATGCACAATCCTGAATAGAATTTGCATCTCATATTTTGTATGCTGGGACTCAATGAGGCGTAGTATCCTCTCCTCAGTGTGGCTGCGGGATCCCATTGGTATCTAAATATATATCTTTTAAACATTTATATTTTATTGTGCTTTTTAAAAAATCTAGGTGAAATGTTAAATGTATATTGCAAGTCCATGTATCATATGTCATATGCTTAATAAATAGATAAATTGTTGCTATTTTTATTATTTATCACATTATTTTGATATTAGTGACCCATAAATTGTCCTCATAAAATCTAAAGGATGGTACTCAAACTGTTAATTATTTTAAAAAAAATATTTTATTTTTTTCCTGCAACTGCAGAATGAATAATCTCTCTTCAGTCACAGAGGGCATGTTAATATGTATTGATGGTGGTGGAAGTGTCTAGAATGTTTTTGGTAGGCTGCAATACATCCTGCAATGATAATCCATTGTCTCTGATTTAACTGAGAAATAATTGGTTGAGTCCTATTGCTATTCCAAACCGTTATTTGGGGATTTGATTTATACAGGCCCTGTTTCTGCTCTTTTACTGTTGTCATAATCACAACAGGGATAGATAAGATTGTCTTTTGGATATCTTGCTTGAACTGTGATGAATGAGCAACCATGTTTACTCATTTCTCTAGCCATGCATTTCTTATTTCTCTAGCCAGTTATAAAGAATTGTGTCATTTCAGACATGACACTATGCCACAGTTGGACAATGGACTGCATACAGTTCCAAGCAGATTTTGGAAATGATCTGATTCCTCCACATCAAAATTGCAGTAGAAAATTTGGTGGCAAGCTATTAGATCATAGTACCTGTCCTCCTATTTTTGAAAAAGTGTGTCTCATTTGTTCTTTCTTTTCTTTTTTAAGGAATCTACGCTTTTATCCTAACAGCTATAGCTGTTGGAATTTCTCTATACTTTGAAATGGAGTTTTATTATTTATATGACCACTTCCTGCAATTTGCTATTTGTGCTACAATTTTTAGTTTTTTGTTGAGCATTTATCTCTATGCCCGTTCTCTGAAAGCACCTGAGCATGAATTATCCCATGGAGGAAATTCTGGTAAGTGAAAATAATATTGGAAAATAATATTTCAGAATAGAATAACCCCAATTATTTATGTCATTCCTTTGTTGTTTTATAATCTATTGTGGGGATATCAACAGAAAATTCATAGGAACCATGCATATATTCTTATTTGTAGGGAATATCTTTTATGATTTTTTTATGGGACGTGAATTAAATCCTCGCATTGGAAATTTTGATCTGAAATACTTTTGCGAGTTACGACCAGGGCTAATTGGTTGGGTGAGTATTAATCTCTTGTTGCACATTCCACAATATTAAGTAAAATAAAAATGAGATAAGGAAGAAATGGGCAAAGTAGTGGAAAATATATTATCATGCAGCATTATAGCTGCAACAAGGATAAAAATATATAAATTTGGAAATTTTCCTAGATAAGCTAACTACAAATGGGCATGTAATACATAATATTGTACTAAGATATAATTGAATTGTTTTCTGTAAAGAGGAGGGTACCATTTGAAATATTCAGTTTACATTAGATGATATTGGCTGAATTAGCTCATTGTAGACTTTTAAGGATAAAAGTGAGTAACATGTAATTTAATTTTTCCAAAGACTGTTATTAACTTGGCCATGCTTTTCACTGAGATGAAAGTGCAAGATCGGAACATGCCCTCTCTGTCAATGATACTTGTTAATAGTTTCCAGCTCATCTATGTGGTGGATTCTCTTTGGCATGAGGTAACTAGCAATTGATAGTTCTTGAATGAATTATTGTTAATTTTTAGAACTGTGGTTGTAAGGTTTATCCTGTATATCTTTCCTCCAAAATCTCAAGAAGATACTGTATGCAAGCTTGTTAAGTAGATAGTGATTGATGTAGAATCTTTCAGCAAACTTCCATAGATGAGCCTGGGCTTAAATTTCATCTTCCTTATTGTAGTACAACCATTTAACTGCTACTCCATATAAATTAACAGAGAAGGGATGATAATTTCTTCTTCCTTCTACAACTTGATTCATAATCTAGTCCATAGGTACCCTAAGTCCAACAAATGGATTTGAAGGGTAAAAGGAAGTAAAAAATTGGTGAAAATCAAGTGACACCGAGTTTTACTATAATTTAAACCTTGAAGAATTAGTATGCACTTATCCATATTTTGTATATTTGCTGTTCTTTATAAAGCCTTATAGAGCTTCATTTTGAACTAGATGAAGCAAATTGGGCAAAGTCTTTGGCAAGGTGGCCATAATTTAGTACCTTAAAAAAAGTGATGAATATATCCAAGTGTTGGGAATTCAGTTTAAAAATTATGTTAGACTTATGCAATGAGTTCAGAGAAAATATTTCACAAGAAGTCAGAGCATAGATGAAACACTTTTTTTTCCAAACTGCAAGGCATGCTGCTTTAAGAATTACTCCCAGTTATTTCTATTGTACATGTCATGTACAATAATTTCACTTGGAGGTAGGTTTCTGTGGCACCCAGAAAGCACTGAGGATGTTTCCTGTTCATTAGACAGGGATGGGCAACTCAGAGACCATATGTAGTCCATCATTGTTCCATTACTAGTTATTATAGGAGTTTTGAGATTGCATTGCTGAAATTCATAGGCAAATGAATGATGACAGCAGGGTTTTTGTTTTAAGGAGGGAAAGGTTTGTTTCTGTTTGGGGTTGTTGTTTTATTATTTTAAACAATTGTGAATGAGAACACAGGCCTTTATGAGTTAATCCATTCTCACCCTGACATATGCATACTGATGCCCAAACCAGGTTAATTAAGCAGAGTGGCTGAATTTCAACAGCATCATTTTGGAATCATATTTGTGAAAACAGTGATCGGAATAGGAGTTTACTATTAATATTAAACATTAATAATGTTAACCATTTTACCTTTTATCGCCTTCATAACCCAGAAGCATTTAAAAGGATTTTCTACTCTTCCCTTTTGGGGACTTGCATTCGTCATTGGAAAGCTCCCCAATTGCTGACCATCTTTGCTTAGGAAGTTTAAAAACTTTACTTTCCAGACATCTCAAAAATAATTGAAATTTACTGCAGTTTGGAAATTTATCCCTTTTATTTGCTAATTAGCTCAATTTTGCCTCAAATTTCTACACTGTCTTTTTGAGTTCACTATTAGAATTGAATCTACAAGAAAAGGCTATAATATTTTATCTTTTAAAAGTTACATGATCAAAAAGTTGTTTTGCCTTAGACACATACAGTACATTGTAGCAGAGACAGATTTTTTTGGGGAAGGCAGTAATAACCAACTAAATGGGAACTATAAATAAATGTATTTATTTAGAGATGTGTGAACTCAGAATTCATCGGCATTTCTCAATGGCTTAAAAAAAGTATCCTTGCAAAAGGTGCTGTGTAATGGGGCATGCATTTAACAAAGCAAGGTTGGCAACTGCTTTGAAAGTTTCTTATCTAAATACTAAGTAATTGAATATTCTTTTGTTACTATTTTAGGAAGCAATTTTAACAACAATGGACATCACAAATGAAGGGTTTGGATTCATGCTAGCATTTGGAGACTTAGTATGGGTTCCCTTTCTCTACAGTTTACAAGCTTTCTATTTAGTGAATAATCCAAATGAGATTTCATGGCCTGCAGCTTCTGCCATCCTGACTCTAAATAGTAAGTTATGACTTAATGATAGGAATGTATTATTTTGCATTAATGCATAGAGCAGCACAAAAGATTTCAACTGAACATTTCTCCTTACTCAGCACTGAGCAAGAAATGAAATAATCATGATAATACTATACAAAGGGTCAGCAAGAGATGAGATATTATGAGATTGAGGAAATTGTGAACTTGCAGAGGATGATATACCCAAATTCTATCTTAGGTCAGCTGTCAATTATTGTGGAGGTTATAATCCAACAAACAATAATAAAAGTCCACCCTTGATTTAGATGGTTTTTCCCCCTAAATTCTGTGATTACAATATTTATATTTTAAAGAATTGTTTAGCTTGATAGTGAAATACTATCACTAGTAGTGATGGTATTATGACATTTGTCATAATAATTAGCTTGGAAATATACTCAATCCTAAAATGAGAATATTACTGACATAATACAATAAAGAATATAGAAAGATGCATGTATCCCATTATTCAAATTTTAATCTTTACATTTTAATACTTTTTTTATTCACTTCATTTTTATGATGTAGAATTGCAATAGAAATTTTCAGTTCCTGTGGCTCCCATTATCCTCAAAATATTTCTAAACAAGGAAAGGAAAGGAAATGCAGTAAAAGGGGACCAGATATAGGGAAAACCTATATGAATTCTAACTTTTGTATACGTTAAGAATTGTGCATTGTGTTACCTGATAGGGTATGGTGTAGGACATTGATGATGTATTAATAAAAGAATCTTGGTTTGCTAAAGACTGAATTTAGTGATAATAGAAGTAAAAAATATAAGCATCTGTATAAATGATACCCTTATCACTATTGTTGTAAATGATAATAAATAATAAATCATCTTATAATCAGTACTCTTATTTTTTCCCCACAAGTTGTTGGCTATTACATTTTCCGTGCTGCCAACTCACAAAAGAATTTATTTAGAAGAAATCCAAAGGATCCAAAAGTTGCTCGTAAGTACTGTTTAGACCTACTGGTTTTGTAACAATAGTCTACATACTATTTATTCATAAGTATGTTTCTACTGCATTCTATTATATATATGCATATATATATGTGTGTGTGTGTCTGTTATACAGATTTGAATGTTATTCCTACTGCAACGGGAAAAAACCTCCTTGTATCTGGCTGGTGGGGCTTTGTGCGTCATCCTAATTATTTAGGTGATATCATTATGGCCCTGGCTTGGTCCCTACCTTGTGGTAAGTTAATAAAGCAATTTTACTTTACACTTTTCTTGTTTCTTTTGAATCTCTATTCTGTTGGTGGAGTGATAGTTACTGACTGTAATATAAGATTTCCACTACCAAAGATTTATATATATAATAAAATGCTTTGAAATAAGATAATTTTCACATAAAAAGAATATACTGTATTTTTTTTATGATAAGACACACCTTTTCCCCCCTAAAAGAGGGTGAAAATTTGGGTGTTTCTTATACACCGAATGTAGCCCTGCCCACCCACTGGCCCCCACCCTTTGGCCTCCCAGCAATTTACCTGCTTGCAGAAAATGGGAAAATGGTGCCTGTGACGGCGGCAATAGGCTATGGCAATCCTGGCAGCCTGAAACAGCTGATCATTATGAGGCCCATGCTGAAATGGAAATTGAAAGTGAAACGGCTGTTTGCTGCAAGGAGCAAATTGCTGGAAGGCAGAGTTACAATTTTTTCCCTTCTAATCAGTAAACTGAAGCAGGCTGTTTGGTGTTTGCCATTTGCTGCAAGGAGGTTAAGTCAATAACTATAAATGCCTATAGGATGTTCAAATTATTAGACTTATTTTTTAAAGACTGCTTTATTATTGTTCTAGACAGCTTAACAAAATGGAGAAGCTTTTTAAAATAAATGCTTGATCTGAAGAGGCCCAGTGCTATTGTATCTTCTTTTAAATAGCAAAGAATAACTATACTTCCAGAAAGCCCCATCAATTTTAACAGCATCTGTATAAATATAGTCTGAAATGTAACCACAAACATTATATATCATCTGTGCTGTTTGCTGCAAGGAGGCCAATTGCTGGGAGGCAGAGGCAGATTCCCCCCCCCCTTGTTTTTCTCCCCTAAAGCTAGGTGTGTCTTATACTTCAGAGCGTCTTATACTCTGACAAATGAGATGTACCATAGATGATGTGATTTCTTTCATGGCAATATTCCTTTCCTATATTTTTATTAAACATAATACCAAGAGAAAAAAAATACAGTTAAAATATTTTAATACTTCACATTACATTTTTGTATATATATTTGCACTTACAACTATATTATGACTAATGGGATGAGGAAAAAGTAATAATACTTTATATTTTTTTATAGGATTCAATCATATTTTACCATATTTCTATGTCATATATTTTACTGGTTTGCTTATTCACCGAGAAGCCCGTGATGAACACCAATGTAAGAAAAAATACGGTTTGGCATGGGAAAAATACTGTCAGCGTGTACCGTACCGCATATTTCCATACATCTATTGAGCAACATCTGATGCAAGATACAGAGTTTCGGCAATGAAACCTTTGGTGTATACATCATACCTCTTACCTTTGCACTTGGAATATATAATAATTGTACTGGATGTTCTTAAAAATACATTTTGATAGGTCATTTCCAGATATTTACCAGCCATCTAATTGATGCAGCCTTATAATTTTTAACCACTTGCCATTTTAAGTGACTTTTTTTTATTAGAAATAATAAACTAGTTGTATAGTGCATGAAAAGTATTAAGTAATTTGTATGCTTTATAAACTGGTTATGAGTAATGTTTATTTTTTGTCCTGTAAGAAAGAAAACCAAATTTAGGGCTTAATTACCAATATTTTCTTTATAATTTTATTTTGTATTTTTAGTATTCATAGTACCTTGGTCAAAAAGCATCATATAAAACAGCAGTATACTAAGATCCAATGAAAAGCAACATTTACTATGTTCCAGCTTCCTAATTATATTTGTTCTTACTCATTTTTCCTGATTCCCTTGAGGATTTGGGCAGATGGAGGTTAGAGCGGAGTTATAAATATGACTCTTCTGCCTCATAAAAACAGGCTCCATTTAAGTTGTAGACAAGATTTTAACATGTAGTTGAGTGTTGAGTGCAGTTGTAAGGGGATATATAAAAATGTCCCATACCACTCTATGGAATATCTCAGGTTTGAAAATATTAGTGGTAAAAAACATTAGAGATTTATTTAGTGATAATAGAAAGTAGTGCAAAATATGAAATATTGTACAAACTGGAAAAAAGCTTTTTCCCCTATGAACCATTGCTTTACACTGCAGCTTTCCTTTATAATATTGAAAGAGTTTGTTTTACAATATTTGGCTGTAAAATGGAATTGTTTTTCAAGTTTGGATTTTTTTAAATTATAACCATTTGCGTATTTTTTAAAAAAAATGTAAAGTATTGTATTATTGTGAAATATTTTAAGAGCTAATGACTTCATTTAAATATGGTGATGCATTATGAAAAAAGGAAACTATTCAACTTTTACAACTTGGCATTACTACCTCAAAGTAGGTTATTTTGCCTTTTTATATTGTTATGTAGGGAAAAGATTGCTTTTTAAATTAGCTTTTAAATAAGAAATGGAAATTAAAATCAACTATATAAGCACTAATGCATTTTTTTATATTTTTGTATTAATATCTCTTAACTATAGCTATAGAATATAAGAAATTCATAGCTTTAACAATAGTAATTTTACTGTTAAAGTTTTTATTGAAATGCCTGTAATTGACAAAACAATTGCTATTTTAATATATAAAGTTTGAAGGCAAAGGTATTGAAATATTTTTTTCAAACCGTGGATTTCATAATTTTATAGCAGTCAGAAAAGGTAGCCATTTAATATCTGTGTAAAGCACCCATAGTTTGTATATATGAATATGTAGCATATTCTTTATAACTTTTGCTTTTAATTTTAATGCAGCTAATACTACTTTCAAAATATTGTGCAGCAATAATTACTGTGAAATATTACACAATATAGCAGAGCCTCTTTTCTTCTCCTTCCGTCTACTATATTTTATGTATCTACTAGCTTTTGCTGGGCATTGTGTGCCTTTATAAAAATGTGGATTCAGTCTATTTAACCTAATAAGTTGCCCAGTTTTGAAATAGAAGGAATTTAGCATTTGGTAATCTTTATTCCTTATATATTTATAAGGACTGTTTTAGTTTTGAACAAAACTATTTTAAATTTAGATTGTAGTAATTAAATTTGGGGTTTCGGGGCAATAACTATTGCACATATGATAATGGCATTTTTGATTCTGTGATGATTATGCTCCAACCCCCAAGCACTCTCCGGAACTTTGGAACTACATTTTATATATTTCTGTTGGCTAGACTAACTAGATTTGATGGAGGTTGTGGCCCTGAACACTTTTAATAGGGCTGATATCTATAAGCAATATAGGTAGTATAGACATTCCATGATTTTCAGGTATTCTACATACACTTTCTGAAGAAAGGATTTTTTAAGATAACTCTATAGCCCCAGGAGTATAGTTCCAATTAAAATAAACAGCAATTTGTCATCATTATTGTTTTTCTTTTTACTTTAGAATGTACTTTTAGATTTCATTTCATGAACAATAACTTGCATAATTAAACATTAGTCCAAAAATTGCATCGCTTTCTTGACATGCTTCTAATATTTATTTGTTAATTAAATGGATATTTGCTGTTCTTTTTTTTAAATCAAAAAATGACTGGCATAATCTTTAACAGACTGGTTATATTATTCATGCTGGCTTGATAGTAATATTCTTCTCCTTTTATACTCTTCACTAAAATCAATTAAGAATGCATTTCCTGTTCTCTTTTCTGCTTTATCTTAAGAAGTGGAGAATCTATGATCTTCTTAGTTAGACTTGACATATAGTCCCCAGTTACTTTAGTGAAGAAAAGGCGTTTGATTGTAATTTGCATTGCCAAAATTTCTAGACTACATTTTTAAGAGTTGGAAAAGTGTAGTTTGCAAGAATAGAGGAGGGAGGGCTCTTTGTGAAATTTCTCTAATGACCTGGTGCATGGTTATTATAATAGTCAAGTTAAAGTGAATAAAAATAATTGCTTTCACTTAATTTTTTGCATACTTCTGTGACATGTGCCTCACAAGATGCCACTTAAAGCCTACAATTTGATATATGACTTGTGGAGTGACATTCTTTTGTGATAGGGTAGCTAAGAGTTGCATCAGAATGGGAAGATAGTTTTCAAGGGAGATGTAGGTCATTTGGAGAGGAAATAACTACTTTGCCAAGACCTCCTCTCTTCATTTTTTGCCTGCCATTTTTAAGGGTATAGAATCCAGTGGCCAGACTTTCCTCAGTTAAGAAATAGGTGAGGAAGACTGATTTTACAAACTTTAAAACTTCAGAAAAAAACAAATTACATGTTTCTGGAGATCTGGAATAGTAAACACACTGTTCCAAAATCTCTGCATTTAGAATTACTCTTGTAGCCATACATTGTAGAGATAGATAAATTGTTAGTATTTAAGTTATCACAATGAGCAGAGATGGCTTTGAAATCTGAAACAAAAAAACTGGAACATCTCAAAGATGTGATGGAGTGAGGGAGCCACAATTCTTCATTAATAGCAAAACTCAGTTGTATCAAAGTTAGTTTGAGCAATATAAGAGACAAGGTTGCATGCATAGCCTTGCATTCAACAATAACTGTTTAAGCCAATCCCCAATAATGCAAAACAGATTTGCCATCCCTACAGTGTTAACTCTCCCATCTCCAAAGATCTGCGTTGTGAGAATTGAATGTGATAAAAAGTATTGGTTGACTGCTCCCTGTCAAAAGGATTCACTGTGTAATGAATCTCCCTTAACATTCCTGAAGTTGTAATACTGCATTCCTTCTTCAGTGGCACAAAAGATACGTTTTTACAAGAGAAGCTAAAAGGTGTGAAAAAGGCTTTTTGCAAATGAGGGGAAGAAATAGGATGGATCTACTTGTAGAAATTTGTTAGATGGTAATAAATAATGGAAAGCTCGCAGATGTCTAGTATTCACAAAGTCATGGATAGTGTCTATAATGCCAGGGAAATCTAGACAGAAGGACATTTTAGATTCCTTTTTGTGAGGAAAGGAGAAAATTTTCTGCTTGGCAGGAACCATAATGAGTTACCAAAAATAATTCATGCCAGACTAGGACATTAGAATGGGAATTAGTGTTTCTCAATATCTCACCTGGGACCAATACAATTATCCTGTTACTGCAAGCACACAGAATTAAGAGAGAAAATCTGCTGGTGTGGGTATATAACTTAAGGGATAATTACCTAGAATCACTTGAAAAAGCAATGACATTCTTTTCTTGGTGTTGGAGAAGACTCCTAAGAATACAATGGACAGCCAAGAACAAACCAATGGATCAACCCACAGTTCTCAGTCAACTACAGGTGGCCAGGCTCAAATTAGCCTACCCTGGATACATTATGTGAAGATCTAACTCTATAGAGAAGGTTTTAATGCTGGGAAAGGTGGAAGGAAAAAAGAACAGCAAGGAAGATGGACTCAGTTACAGTGGTGATAGTGCTTTGTTGGGAAACCTGAAAGATTAGGGACATAATTGATGTGAATAAAATCTTACGTTTTTGCTAAGAAACGGTATTAGCTTGATTGCATATCAAAGAACTGGTAAAATTATGATTTACAAATTATAATAACAGCTAAAGCAAAATTAAATCCCTCAGACTTAAAACACTTCAGAATCTATAGCCAGCATGACCTCTGCTGAGAGCTTTGGAAACTGAAGCTACACATTTTTAAAATGCCAGTGAAGGCTGATTAGATTGAAACAGGATTAGAATTTAGAACTTAGAATCTAACAGAGTTGGAAGTAACCTTGGAAGTCTTTTAGTCCAACCATCTGCTTAGGCAGGAAACTACCATTTCAGACAAATGGTTATCCAATCGCTTCTTTAAAACTTCCAGTGTTGGGGCAAGTTGTTCCACTGATTAATTGTTCTAACTTGTCAGAAAATTTCTCTTTCTAGGTTGCTTCTCTCCTTGATTAGTTCCAACAATTGCTTCCTGTCCTACCCTCAGGTGCTTTGGATAATAGTTTGACTCCCTCTTCTTTGTGGCAGCCCCTGAGATATTGGACACTGCTATCATGTCACCCTCTTGTCCTGGAGCCATTTGTTAGAGCACGTGAGGCACTGACTTCGACCTTTTGAGGACATTTTTCGCCCTTCAGAGGCTTCCTTGAAGACTCTGGAGCGCAAAAAACCCGGCCCTACAGGCAACCCAAAAATTCAGGAACAGACTTCCGGTTTGCTCATAGGACCGTTTTTCGCCCTCCGGAGCCTTCAGGAAGCTTCCCTAAAGACCCCGGAGGGCGAAAAACAGCCCTGCCAAACTGGAAGTCACTTCGGGTTTGGCCGTAGGAGCATATTTCGTGCTCCGAAGCCTTCAGGGAAGCTGAAGGGGCGGGGGAGCTGTTTCTAGGAGCCTGGGGAGGGCGAGAAAAATGTGCCAAAAGTGGAGGGAGTCACTGGTCGTGTGTGCATGCGTGCAAGAGTGGGTAGTCGCGCGCATAGCATTTTGGGTATGACACACCCGCGTGTGACCCCCTGGAACCGGAGCCAAAAAAGATTCGCCATCACTGCCCTAGTCCTCTTTTTCATCAGACTAGACATACCCAGTTCCTGCAATCGTTCTTTATATGTTTTAGCCTCCAGTCCCCTAATCATCTTTGTTGTTCTCTGCACTTTATAGAGTCTCAACACCTTTTTTTACATCGTGGAACTAAAATTGGATGCAATATTCCAAGTGTGGCCTTACTAAGACATTATAAAGTGATATTAACACTTTACGTGTCTTAATTCTATTCCTCTGTTTATGCAGCCTAGAACTGTGTTGGCACACTGCTAGCTCATATTAATATGAACAGGTATAATATTATATGTACTAAAGATAGCAATCCTAATTTTTTGGAGTGGATTAGCAGGAATGTATGAAATTTTGAGAACATACAAGTCCTGTTATAAAATTACTCCTAGAAGCTTGCCCAATTCATGTATTAAAATACTAGGCATAGGAAATTAATTCAGAAACACAAGCATACCAGCTTGTGTCAGCTGCATTTAGCCTTGCTTAAATTTTACATTATTCCAGGCACTGTCAAAATACACTGGACTGCAGCTGTCAATCATTTCTATTTTTAAGGAAGGATTATTGAACCTATTTGGGATGTAGAACAATCTTAGAAATAAAAATTTCTAGACAAAATGCCAATTTACCATGTACCATCTTTGATCACTGCATACACTCATTTTAATTAATTTACAATAATTAAATAAATGAAAAAAGGCAAAAAAACAACAATACCGAGTTTGCACATATTGCATGGGAAACAAGTTTATTAATTAATCTAAAACATTAAACAATTAAAACTAGGTTGTATCTGATCCTAGACTGAAACAGTGAAATATTCATTTCAAATAAGGAACAATAATATTTTAATATTTCCTAATCCAGTTGACATAACAGTGCAACTCCTCTCATTATCCAGTGGCTAGGAGTTACCAGAGTTGGCAGATTAATTTCAGTTACAAAATTTGTAGATGCACCCATAGAAGACAGCATTCCTGTTCTTTGAGGTGTCTTGTATAAAGGACATACATATAAAAGCTGGTCTTCATCACAGAAACTTGGGAAAACGGTAATCTAAAAAATAATTAAAATATTAATCTCAATTTCTACATATTAAATAAGTTGTACACCTAGGATCAGTAAAGAAGCAAATTAAAGTGGTCATCTGTAACCAGCATGTGTTATAACAAAGGAACAACTTAAATATATAGCTCATTGAGAGTTGGGATTCAAATTAAGGTTTTTGCAAGAACTTTGGAACATCCTGTAAATCAGTTGATGCTCCCATCGCAAATATATTTTAAAAAGCAGCTGTTGTAGTAAGTATAATTCTTCTAAAACACAAAACAATAGTATAAAATATTGTCATTCTAGGGCTTCTAGTTTGAAGAACCAGTAAATACCACCTCTGACTGGTCCCACCCCCATCTATTCTCTGCCTCCCAAGTCCCAGCTAATTTGGATTTTGCAGTAACCCTCCCCTGCGTTGCCTACCAAGCCACGCCCACAGAACCATTGGTAAAAAGTTTGAATCCACCACTGAGTGACTTATAACATTTACTTAAACCTGGGTAATCAAAATACAAAAATGTCCTACCAAGATAGTGAAACTATACTACTCACACTTTGTGGTAAAAATTGGATGACTGGTAGTGGATAATATCTTCTATGAAGTTTAGGTTCATCCAATGCCTGTGTATGGGGATTCCAGCATGCACCATCTATGTACAAGCCGTGAATTTTAACTCCGGTTTCATGCTGAGAATGTTCCTAATAAAAGATAGATAGTCTTTCTACTCAGCATTGTTGTGCATTGCTTGAAACAAGTGGAAGATTTAACTAAACAATTAAAATCTGGTCTTTTTCAGAGAGCTAAAAGTGAAGTTGACTAAGCTCATTGCACAGGAATTGGGCATATGCAGTGATGCAAAAAAGGGAACGTGGACACAGTTGCTATCTTAACATTTAATAGTCCCTTGCCACTGCATGGAAGTGAGTTAAAAAAATCAGGATAGACACATTTCCCTTTCCCTGATTCAAGGACACAGATATATATTAACATTACAGTCTATTGGATCATCACAGAAGTGGAAAATACTTGCTGCTTGAGGACTATCTGTCCCTTTTGTGTGGAAAAATACTTGTGGGCTTGTTTATGTTGCAATTTGCTTATTTATTTGCTTATTTATTTGTTCAATTTGTATGACTTCCATAACTCATTAGAGTGAGTCTGGGCAGTTAAAATGAAAACAACAATAAAAGAAATAAAAACAAAACACATCTTCTGGTCATCAAACACTTCTTGATCCAAATCCCCAAAGGAAACACCAGGTTATTAATAAACTGGCAGAGTTGGGAACCAATCAAATTCTGGCTGTGAATAAGAGAATCATTACAAAGGGTGGGTGCTGCCCCCCAAAAGACCTGCTTCCTAGGTTAGGACAGATGACAAGATGCAAAGAGGAGACCTACAGTACAGATAGCCTGGAAATACTTAAATCTTTTGATGATTTACTTGCTGCACCTATTAGTTGGGTGTTAAGTAGGTGGCCATAAAGATTCCAGTAATAAAGAAGCAAATAAAGTCCATATAACCCATTTAACCCATTACTTCATAAAATGATTTGCTTTAGATAAATGGTATGCTAAATCCATTTCCTATCTGAGTTTACCTGCCTATAATTTTCCTTGCAATATCTTTATCTTATTTCTTTGTAGATAATTTCATAAATATATTCTAGATGTTTTTCAACTGTAGCCAGAGTTTAGGCATATATACAACTATCATACATGATATTCGTATGGATGCCTGCATTTTGATTACATAACAACAGTCAACCAGAACAAAGAAACTGGTTTCAATCCCATTCTTACCTCAAAAGCTTTGTTTAATATGTTTTCCCTTCTATTGAAGCTTAAATCTTCATCTTGAGTTAAAGGAAGCACTTTATGTGTAAAAGTAAGTGAATCCACTGTTACTTTATTCAACCGAGCATAATTCTGACACACAGCAATAAGAAATCCTTCAAGAACAAAATACACAGATTTGTTACCATTATTAAGAAATTAATTACATTTACTCTTTAATTACATGAAAATAATTTTATTCTTTGCAAAGAGTGAATGAATTTGCTATTTGATATACTCCCAATTCAATGAAGAAATATGAAATATAAATAAACAATAGTTTCTTATTTAGTCATTAAATTATTAATATAGAGGATTACAAAGTAATACAAGATTTCCCTCATCTGTAACGCTTGGCTCTCACTTCAAAACACATCTGCAGGAATTATGTGGACAAGAAAAACTGAAGAGGGTGTGAGGGAGATCAAGAAAAATATGGAAAAAGGGAAGCAGTAATAGCAATAATTATCCAGGTTATATTATATTGTAATCCAGTTTATATCATATAAACATTCCACGTATCTATCATATCTATCATAGGATATAATTTATAAACTTCTAAGCACATATTTAAACTGGAAAATCTTCTATGGATTCTCTAGACCAGTGGTGTCAAACTTGTTTGTTTGTTTGTTTGTAGTTTATTTATAGGCCGCCCTTTTCCCTGAGGGGACTCAGGGCGGCTTACAATCAAAAA